TTAGCTTTTGCAAAAAAAATAGTGAAATTCACTCACCGCTGGTCGAGCGAACGAACAAACTTCTGCACGAAAATCCATTGTTTTTTTTCCGGAATATTCAAGTTACTTTTTTATAAGTATTTATGTGTTTCTTTTTAATGCAGCAGAATAATCGCCACCCGTTTCAGATCTGAAAAATAAAATTTCCGGAAATTCAAATTATATCAAAAATACCAAGACTGCCCCGACTAATCGACCGAAACGTCTTATCTCACTCTTACCTTCTCTTTTCTCATACTGTTCTTTAATCTATGGCGCCTTCGCCTTTTATGCTTTCAGGATTAATCTGGTTGCTAGATTTAGCTTATAAGTATGGGTATTCCCTGTTGGTGATGCTATAGAATGTCCCCGCACAGTTAATCCAAGCCCGCTAATCGCGGGCTGCAAAATCCCAGATAAATTAGTCTACTTTAACGATAAATGAGCGAGATAAGCTCAAAATAGAGAAGAATGGAGAAGTTGCCAACTATATCAATAGCTCGAACAATCACGACGATGAAACAACAGCTATTCAAACAAATTATCAAATTTTTGCCAAAAAAATCGTAAAAATCTAAAAAATTAAATTAAGGACAAAAAAAGAGGTAATAAGAAATCGAAATAAAAGAAACGATAAAAAAGACAATTTCGAAGTAATTGCAAGTATTTAAATTAATTTAACTGAAATAATAATTTAAAAAAACCCCCTTAAAAATCTAAAAAGTCGAACTAAAGACACGAAAGGAGATTATAAAAATCGAAAAAATAAAAATCTAAAAAATTAAATTAAGGACAAAAAAAGAGGTAATAAAAAATCAAAATAAAAATTTAAAAAAACAATGAAAAAGACAATTCCGAAGTAATTGTAAATATATTTAAAAAATTAAACTGAAATAATAATTTACCCCTTAAAAATCTAAAAAACCAAAATAAAGACAAAAAAAGGGATGATAAAAAATCAAAAAATGAATAAAAGAAAACAATAACAAAGACAACCGCGAAATAATTAAAGCTAATTAAACTGATTAAACCGTGATAATTAAATTAATTAAATCTATGAAAATTAATGAAATCCTTAGAATTTCTAAATCAGTGGTACCTACGGGAGATAGCAAAACCCCACACGCCAAATATTTCACGTCAGTGATGTTGCTAGGATGCTCCTATACGCAAGGCATAATTCAATCTATCGATATTTTAATTAAACGAGATAAGCAATTCATGGATGCAACAAGTACAAAAAAACATAAGAATTTAGAATTTACATTTTTATAATTTTACAGTTTTTCTATTTCCTCTATTTCCTCACTTCCGATCCTCCATTTCTAGCATTTCTTCTGTTTCTCATCTCTTTTTTATCTTGAATAATTCCTATACCTCACTGGACCATCAAAATTATTTTGTTACCACAATCGTCGTACTGACGAGGTCCAGCTGTAGTAACGGTAAGAAATGTATACGACTCTTAATGGACCGAAACATTTCTTGCCTATTACAAATATTTCCTTCGTCCCCTTCCCTTAGTTCGCATTTTCTTCAGTTTCTTCCATTCCTCATCTTTTCTCTTCAACCTTTAATAAACTATACCAGGCTTTTTGATCCTGGGCTGCACATTGGGTATAGATCAATGTTCAATTTCTAAAAAGGTACAAATAATAATAATTTATCTCCAGAAAAGAATGAGAAATCACTAGCACAGCATGTAACCGACGGTCAAAAAGCCTGGTACACTCTCAACTAACAAATCGGAACATCCCAGTAACATCACTAACATGGAATACCCACACACTGATAGTACCCGCCTGGTCACTGTTCTTGGCAAATAGTGATCAAGAAAATAGTACGCTAATTTAAGAGACGCAGAGATTGATGCAGTCATACTCGTGTATTTTCGAAATTTTCAATTCGGCGCATGACCGTATCGTCTTTGTTGCCACCTGTAATGGTTTTTGCGGTCGGTTGGTCCTTGGGATGGCTGGGGGGTTGGGGTTCGGGGGCTTGGGAGTCAGTTGAGTGGTCGGGGGGGGGGGGTTTTCTGGGGGC